TACATGTTTCATCCTTTAACGAATTAAAGACAACAATTGCTCTATAGGTTAAACATAGTTGACTATAATGAGAAAAAGTTCTGTTCTTCACATGAAAAATGAAAAAAACTTTACCCGATGTAAACTAGGTGATTAAGAGGATGCATAATACACAGCCTATACTTAAAGCAACAATGACAATCTTAATGGAGTTTTGTTCTCTGAGATGGATGGTTTGATTGTGGAGCTTTCATCATTCTTCTGAACGAAATAATCAGCACTTCAGGTAGGATTTTGTGCTGATGATGTCTTTCAGAAGAATGATGAACGCTTCACGACCAAATCATCCAGCTCAGAGAACTAAACCCTATCAAACTAACCCACTTAATCTACAAATCTTCTCCACTATTTCAATGACAATCTTAGATTGTCTGATTTCAAATCTTAACAACAACGTTATCATTCAAAATTTACACCACCAAACTGGTGAATAATTAAGTACAATTGGGTAGAATCATTTCTTCAGATTATATAGTATAGTGTATATTATAGTTCCGACAATAACTGGCAAAATTACAAGCTCACAATCTATTCAACATTTAATTCTTAAAACATGATAATAATCGATTGTTTTGTAACTATTTATTTGTTTAAATTCATAAATATAAGTATACGGGGGCACCACACAAATCTCCTTTGATTTGTGTGAGGACTGTGAAACTTCCCAGGTACCCAAACTGAAACAGGTGGTTTCCTTAGGGGGCCACACCCGGAGACTTTGATCTAAAGGTCTGATCAACAAGGCAGTGGAGCATCATAAGGAGATGCAGTTCCATGGTACTCAGCGATCGACGATTGATTCATACGCCACTTGTTCCCTCAGGATACTAGAGCTCATATGCATCATTAATTTGGAATCAAGGTTTTCCAACTCACCTAGGTAAACGTACCGTGTCCACCAACTCGGTTGAAGCACTAGATATTTGCTTTTCATCCTCTCAATTTCGTAAACAAAAGTAGGGTCACAAGAAGACCCTGAGTAGGACTTCCCTGGTAGAGGTTCTATACTCGTGCCGTGTGAGAGCATTTCGAGGAGGAGAGCGAACTTTCCCCACTCGCGACCGTACCATGGCATTTGGGGGCTAGATTTCATTGACCTATAGAGCATTATTGTCCACTCTTGTCTCTTTTTTGATAAATATCGAGAGAGCATATTAAGATATGATAACTTGATTAAATGTTTTCACCATGTATTTTCCGACTGTACGAATATTGTTTTAAACTTGGACGATATTTTGAATGACTTACATTCTATCACGATGTTAAATAATGGAAAATTCAAAGGGAAATAGTTCAGTTATTGATACATTGTCCTCTTTGTATGCTCTTTGAAAAGTTTTGTCATTGAGAATGATGACTATTAAGAAGCAATAATGAGTTCATAATTAGAAGGGGATTTGTGGAGATTTCAGTATATTTCAAAGTTGAAATCATGAATCGGTTAAGGGCTCCGGCTCGTAACTGGTAGGTCCTGGGTTCGAATCTCGCGAGTGCGGGATCGTGGGTGCGCACTGCTGAGGAGTCCCACAATAGGACGAAACGGCCGTCCAGTGCTTCCAGGAGTTCATAATTGTTGACTAATTACAATCCAAATGTTTTTTGAAGATAGATCTAATGTTATTTGGCATAATTGACTCAGGGTTTGTTTACTGTGTACAAAATATATGCTAATGAATAAAACTGTGGTTTCGATAAGTGTTCTCGTGAGGTTATTATAAGCGAAGGAAGTGAGAATCATTGTAGTGGTTCGCATCCAGCTAGAAAATAATTTATGTAATAAAGAAGTATGCAGATTAACTAATGTAAGGGAGGAAAGCTTGAAAAGAGAGCTTCAGAAGAAAAGATGAATCTATGACTTGGAAAATGAACATGTATGTAATAAAGAAAATAAGCGACAATAGTAAGGAATAACAGAAGACTTAGATAAAGACAACCTGGAAATTAAAACTAGAAGCATATAGCTTTAAATTTATAACCCACTTTGACTGGGGATAATCTACACACATCCTCAGCAGTGCGTATCCACGAACCCGCTTTCGCGAGATTCGAACCCAGGACCTACCAGTCTCAAGCCGAAACCCTTAACCGATAGACCACTGAGCTGAGGATTCCCATAATAGGACGAAACGGCCGTCCAGTGTTTCCAGGTTTTCTATGGTGGTCTAGCTTCAATTGACTCACGCTTTCAACTATGATAAATACTAAATCTCCACAAAACCTCTTCTGATAATTAAGATAATCTACACGTTGTTTAATCATCTAAGTGTATCGTAGTCACTAATTACGGTGGTGTTTTCGTCTATTTATTCAATCAGTTAAGAATATTTTGGATTAATTTCTATTATAGAATTAATTGAAGGTATGACTTTTTCTGGGTTATAATTTTTCTTCCATCATATCTGACCGTACTACATTTGACACGTCCATAACATGAGGGAGTAGTATGTTCGTCTTGGAAAACTTTACATTTATTTTATGTAAGCTAGCAAAAAATAGAGTTCCATGTACCTATAAAGAGTGTTGCACTGGTTGTTAAAAGGTGCATCGGCCTCGTGACTTCCGAAAAATTTCGGCTTTCATCATGAGGCGTCATAATTATTACTTCAACTCCCAGAGCAGAGTTTAAATGGTTGGAATTATTTTTTCTGGTTAGCGTTTTTTTAGCGAGTTAGCTTTTCTACGGGATGGGGTCTCTAACCTCACTCCCAACCCTCCTCCTTTGTCCGAGCTTGGGACCGGCAGTAATTGTAGAAGAGCTACAGGCGGACAGAGTTGGATGGAGAATGCTGGTGAGCAGCCTATGCTCCTCGACGAGGGGTAACAGGCGTAATGAAATAAGTAAGTAAGCAAAAAAGTGACAGAATACAAAACATACCCTCTATCATGAATTACAGAAGTATAGATAATAATTCTCGTACCATTTTTGCTAGTTGCCAAGTGTAAGATCAAACTTACGAACTAGAATGAAGTCTATTCTCATCCCCCAACTTCAGTCACTCATCTTTAAGTTGTACTCAGAACTTAAAGGCTAATACTGTAAATTATGATTGACTACTTCCCATACTAAACATAGATCTGATCATTTATTTGTTACAACTGAACAGTAACTACAAACTATTAACAAATATATTACAAATGAATAACTGAACATAATACATTCATTGAACAGTGAAAAGAACTCTACATATAGGTATAATTGAAATGGTGGAGAAGATTTTTAACTAAGGTGAATGTGTACCACAAGCTGTGAACCACATATGAAGAAATTCAAACAATTCACTTCTACCCCTAAGTTTATTTATTTAATCTTATTTGAACACATAAATAGTAGTACAAAGGAGCACCAGATATATATGCACCATGCCAAAAATTGTCATTTCATTTAATTGTGTAAAGGCTTGGATACTGCCCGGGTGTCCAGACCGAAGCAGATGTTTTTCTTAAGGGGCCAGACCCGCAGCCTTTTACTTAAAGATCTGATCCACAAGGCAGTGGAGCATCGTAAGGAGATGCAGTCCCATGGTACTCGGTGACCGATGATTGATTCATACGCCACTTGTTCCCTCAGGATACTAGAGCTCATATGCATCATTGGTTTGGAATCAAGGTTTTCCAACTCACCTAGGTGAACTTACCGTGTCCACCAACTCGGTCGAAGCACTAGTTATTTGCTTTTCATCCTCTTAATTTCGTAAATAACAGTAGGGCTACAAGAAGGCAGTGAGTAGGACTTCCCTGGTAGAGGCTATATACGCGTGGCCGTGTGAGAGCATTTCAAGTGAGAGGACGAGCCCTCCTCACTCTCGACCATATCAGGACATTCGAAAATACTCCTAAGTTCATGCTGATGACGTCGTTCAAAAGAACAATGAACAATGAACAAGGACTTGACACTCATGACATTGATCACCACCCAGTGATCAATCAATTGTGATTACATCTCAGTCTTACAGGAGGTTGGTCGCCATCCGAATAGCTTAGTGGTAACGTCTCTGACTGTGAAGCTGAGTGACACGCTGCTGAATCCGCCAGGGAGCATCAGTTCCCTCAAGATTACAGGTACACCTTGCTGACGAGTGCCAAGTAGCATAAAACCCGGGTCCAGGATTTCCTGTTGACCACCTTCAACTACCATTTTATCTCAATATATATAGTGCACGCAGTGTCGAGCCACCTAGACTAGTGGCCACTTTGCAACTTGAGTGATAGCATTCGATCAGCACTAAGAAGGACTTGACACACATGACATCGATCACCACCCAGTGATCAATGAATTGTGAACAATGAAAGCTTCACGACCAAACCATTCAGTTCACAAAACAAAACTTCATCAAAATAGTTATAATTATTTATATATTTTAAATTTACAAAGTTTTCTCAAGTGACTTTATGGTTTATAAGAGAAAAAACAAACAAATAAACAAACAAACAAACTTCAATTATTCATACATTATGAAATATTATTAGACAAGCCCTAACATGGAATCTAGAAGGTCAAAGATGAAGAGGAAGACCAAAGAATATATTACGCTGAGAAATAAAGACAGACATGAGAAAAATAAACAAAAGTTGGATAGAACTAGAAAGGAAGGATTCAGGACAGAGTGGTTTGGAGAATGATGGTCAGCGGCGCATGCTCCATTGGGAGTAACAGGCGTAAGTAAGTAAGTAAGTAAGTAAGCAAGTATGAAATATTGTCATGAAACAGAAGAAGAAGAAGAAGAAGAAGATACCTTTATGTGCAAAAAACCAAAACCACTAATAGATCACAGGTTCAATGGATATATGGATATATATAAAGGGAATATAGAAAATGTTATAAATTCCATGTAACATTAAAACAACTAAGTTAATTTAACAATAAACTTAACAACAACAACAACAACAATCATAGAAAAAATAGAAAAAAAAAGAAAGGAAAAGAAAAGAAAAAAAGAAGAATGATAGTAACAGTTAAATTATTATATATATTGATTATCTACATGATTATTATTATTATTGCCAATTATTGATTGAATGGAAAAATTTGGCAAACAATTAATGAGGATATTATTGGTATTACTATTATTATTATTATTATTATTATTATTATTATTATTGGACGTAGATGAATGTAAACAGTTATTGAATGGTGATGATAATGTTAAAGATGATGACGACGATGACGATGACGACCACGATGATGACGATGATGATGCTGTTGTTATCGATGAATAATATTCAGTAGTAAATTGATTATTATTAGATAATAATAATTGATTTTGATGAATCGTATATAAATCCATATTCAATGGAATATTATTAGTATTATTAAGCATTATTAATGGTTGATGTTCATCATTATTTATACTACTAATATTAGTAGGATATACAAGTGAATGTTGATAATTTATATTGAATTGATTATTCAAAGGATGATCTGAATAATAAGGATGTTTAGAATATATACAATCATCTATTACATGAGTTGATGATGACGGTTGTTTATCCATCTGTGGTGTATAAAAACATTGAGATAATGATGAATGTTGTATATTTGAATCATTTATAATTCTTGATGAGCAAGATTCTATTGATGATGAAAATAAAAACGGAGAAGTAGAGGAGGAGGTAGTGGAAACAGATGTGGAAGTAAAGGATGATAGAGAACAAGAAGATGAAGGAGAAGAAGATGACGGTGAAGAAGAAGAAGAAGAAGAAGAAAAAGTAGACGAATGAACATCAGATTCTATTGGTACTTGAGATTCTTTAGATAATTTCATAAATTCTGTTAGTTTTGATATGGATGATAATGATCCATTGTCCGATGCTGTCGCTGTATATGCTGATGTTAACAAATTTGCCCCTGTTGAAGATGATGATAAGAGTGGTGGTGGTGATGATGATGATGACGACGAAGAGGATGGTGTAATGAATATAGAAGATTTTGTACGTCTTTTTCGGCGTCTATAAAAGAAAACATCAATTCAATGATTAAAATTCGATGTCCAGTATATAACACTCTCAAATATCACATATCAAATTAATGTCATTGATAATATGTATTTACATAAGAAGAATAACTACCTATCATAGGAAGTCATGAGAATTATACAATCTAAGGGAAAGAACAAACAATTAGGATGATTCAAACAAACAATACCAAGTGAATTTAAACTTCACCCCATTACACAAGAAAGTGGCTATCAGGACTCAGTAACTAAGTGGATAACGCGATGACGTTTGAAGTGAACGGTATTGGGTTCTAGTCCCAGAATGAACATCAACTCTGAGATCCATATACATCCAGCTGAAGAGTCTTAAATAGGACAAAACGCGCTCCCTGGATTTCACTGCTAGCCGCTATTCATCTTTGTTCATAATGATTGTGATAAAACTCTGTAAGAGGTGGAAGCTTTTTCATATGTGGTCAGCATAATAGATTAACAAAGAGAATCTGATGAAGTTGAGAAGTTTCGGATTAGTAAATCAAGGGGAGCATTCTTACAATTGACGACTACCTGTAAACTTAAATCAACTTAAATCAACACTAAGGTCAGAATTTTCAACACAAACATTATGATAGTTCAGTTGTAAAGTACTAAGACTTGGAGAACTACTACAGCTATCATTAAGCAAGTACAAGTATTGTAAATAGTTATCTATGCAAGATACTTCAAAGTTATTAGCTAAAGAATATCAACGACAATCTACTCTGATAGAAAACAAGTCAATTGTTATCCACGGAGAAACTATGAAATGACCTTGAAGGTGGATGGGACATATACTGGAGAAATCATCATGCTGCGTCACAAGGCAAGCCCTAACTTTAATACATCAATACAAAAGGAAAAGAGAAAGAACAAAAGAAACACATTGCACAAAGAATTGAAGAAGGACATTCGGTAGATGAATAACACTTGTGAGCAACTGTTAAGAACAGTCCAGGATAAAATTGGTAGGTAAGTATGTAAGTAAGTAAATGAAACTGAACTAAAGAAACCAGAGGATTTATAGAGATTTTTTGGTTCTATTTCTATAAATAAGTTATAATTACATTTGAATTCAAAGACGTGAAATGGACAATAATAATCATCACAAACTGCACTATTACAAATCAATTAGTCGTTTGACAGCTGTACATTCTTAGTATGATGCTGATCAGCAGTGAATATATGTACTCTACTAGAACTCATAGATGAATGCCTAACAACATATATCCAATTCAACAACAAAATCTATGAGCAAACAAAAGGGACACCAATGAGATTACCAATATCAGGACTTGTCGCAGAAACAGTAATGCAGAGACTAGAAATGGCGATCTTACCGGCAATCAAGCCAAAAATTTGGGTTCGTTATGTAGACGACACATTCGTCATCGTCAAAAAGGATGAACTAGAAAACACCTACAAGCTGATCAACAGCGTCTTCAACGACATCAAGTTCATAATGGAACAAGAGTTGAACAACAAGCTATCATTCTTGAATATATTAATCACCAGAACCGAAACAGGTAAACTGGAGAGTAAAGTGTGCAGGAAGCCGACCCACACTGGTCAAATTCTCAACTACAATAGCAAAAACACAGGAGCTCATAAAATCAACTGTGTACAAACTTTGTTCAAGAAGGCGAAGATACATTGCAACACAATTACAGTACGAAAAAATGAAGAAAAATACCTGAAAACCATCCTCCAAAAGTACGGCTATCCAATCAATTTCATCAACAACAAAAAAAAATACCAACCGCACCCATCATCAAAAACGAAGTTAAGTACAGAAATCAACAAAAGGATCACCTTACTATACATAAAAGGTATACCGGGAACGACAACAAGATTGCTAAAAACCTTCGGAATAGATGTTCCTCACAAACCAACAAAATCCTTCTATTCAATCTTATGCAAACCAAACATCAACTACAAACTAAATAATGCCAACTGCCATAAACACTACATCGGACAAAGCAGACGCCCTCTTCATCTTCGCCTGTATGAACATCAATTAGCAGTCAAATATCATGACGTATCTTCACTCATATCAATACACGTGGACAACTACGGAAACACATTCAACTGAAAAATGTGAAGATTGTGGATAGAGATAATTCCAAAAACACCAGAGTACTCTTCTCCTCCATCATGGACGGATTCCAGATCATTTCAGATCATATACTGAATATATAATCATTTAAACAACTTGGTTAACGTTCAATATTAACATTGATCAATATGAGAGAAAAGAAACAATCATTCTTACCTATAATTTCCATGTTCAAACATTTCATCTGCATTAGTTGATAATGTCCAATAATTACCTTTACCTGGTCGACTTTTATCACGTGGTAATTTAATAAAACAATCATTTAAACTAAGATTATGTCTTATAGAATTTTGCCATCCTTGACGATTATCACGATAATATGGAAAATGATCCATGATAAATCGATAAATTCCTAGAATAAAGAATAAACAAAAACTTCCAATTAGAAGGGGGTTTTATGGAGATTTTATTAATGTTATATAGTTGAAATCATGGATCAATTGAAACTAGACTACCATGAAAAACCTAGAAGCACTGAACGACCGTTTCATCCTATTGTGGGACTCCTCAGGAGTGCTCATCCACGATCCCACCTCGAGAGACTGAAACCCAGGACCTACTAGTCTCGCGCCAGAGCACATAACCGATAGACCACTGAGCCGGCATCTAACGGTGTTAATGTCTAACTCTAACCAATCCACGAAGTTGAGCAACTATTCGCCATTGTCTTCAGTGAGTTGATATCTTACAACAGACCTGGTTTAACTAAAATCAAGCTGAGCAAAAATCAGGAAGTACTGATCAGTTGATAATAGATAACAATGCAATCCAGAATATATATTTCATCCTATTTGGATACATCGAATTGACGATTTCTCAACAGGAAGAGATGCGATTATAATGATTGTCACTCAATGTTACTTACTTACTTACTTACTTACTTACCCCTGTTACACCCAATGGAACATAGGCCGCTTACCAGCATTCTCAAACCCACACTTTCTTGGGCCTTCCTCAATGGTAACATCAAAGCAATCGATATAAAATACTCATATAACAAAAGTGACTCATCAATTACAGTCATAACTGTCACTGGGAATATTTAGATAACCAATACAAATAAGTTAAACTAAATGTTACATCCTTATTCAAACTAAAGTAGTATTGAACAGTTATGTTGTTTAAGAAGTAACCTTTTTTCTAACAGGTTTATTTATGGTCATTTATTCACCTATTTTACCCTGGTCTCTAATAACTTAATCATTTGTAATTTTAATAGTTGAGATCATGAATTAATTGAAGCTAGACCATTATGGAAAACCTGGAAGCATTGGATGGTTGTTTCATCCTATTGTGGGACTTCTCAGCAGTGAGCATCCACGATCCCACCTCGATCCCAACCATTAAAAATACTATAATATCCACAAAACCTCTTCTGTTATTAATCATTTGTGTCAAATTTGGTAATATGTACACGTTTTTTTTTTATAAAAGTGTTTATTATTAATCAAGTTGAATGAGAGAGACACTATCTAGAATTTGATAAAAGTCTTCCAATATATATATATATATATATATATATATATATATAATTGGCATATGTGCATACTGTGCGTATTGCCTCTATATAGCCTTATTTAACAATCATTGTAAGCAAAGATGGATAGTGGGCTAGCAGTGGAATCGAGTTTGACGCACGTTTCATCCTATTTGGAACTCGTCAGCAGGATGTACCTGCATCTCGGAGTTGATGTTCATTCTGAGATTCGAACCCAGTACCTTTCGTTTCAAACGCCATCGCGTTATCCAATCGGCCACCGATTCCTGATAGCCACTTGCTTTTGTGATCTTTGCTTACTATGCTTGTGAATTAAGGCTATATCGAGGCAATACGCACAGTATGCACAAATGCCAATTAGAGACTGACCAGTTTCAGTATTAAAATATCAATGGGAAGATCCAAAGAAACAATACTAAGTAGATTTCAACTTCACTCCATTGCACAAGCAAGTGGCTATCAGTGACCGAGTGGATAACGCGATGGCGTTTGAAGCCGACGGTATCGGATTCAAGTCCCAGAGTGAGCATCAACTCTGTGGTGCAGATACATCCAACTGACGAGTTCTAAATATGACGAAACGCTCTTCCTGGATTCCACTACTAGCCAGTATTCATTTTTGATTATACTGATTACTTATATTTTAATGTACTTTTAAGTATTTTTATTTTATACCAATGAATATTCTAATTATGATGATGAACACGGTAACTCATTTATACTTTCCAAAACAAAACAAAAAAGGGTAACACCCATTTTACATGAAAATGTTGCTTGTCAAAAAGGACAGATTTCGGATTAGTAAAAAACCAAAATTTAAAATGAAAGTGGCTTCATTTCTGATTGTTCTTTTTTTTGTATTTTTTTTCTTCTTCTTCTTTTCTTCCTTTTTTTATATTTTAGTTCCATCTTTTTCTAGATGCCAATTTCACATGACCATGGTTGTAGAAATATGTCAAATATACTACTTATTTGTAAAACAAAAAAAAAATTGACACATAAACACCCCCCGCGTACACACACACACACAAACACATGTAAACACTTGAAGAATAAATTCCAAATAAGTGGATGTTGAAAAAAAAGAGAAAAAAAAAGAGAAAAAAACGTTGTCTCTTGGAGAAACCAATTTTTTGAATCTTTTTTTCTCTTTTTTTTTTTCTTTTCTCAATATTTTTTGGCTAATATACTTACTAAATACTGTCATTGTTTTGTTATATCTGCATATCATTGTCATTATTATCACAACATAATGATAAGTAATATAGTTGAATAAATGAATTGGCCTATTCAAATAGATACAGTCAATTCGATGAATAACTACTAGTCGTTACCCCCCCCCCTTATATTACTGTCAATCTTTAATAATAATAATAATAATAATAATTAACATAAAGTGATGATACATAAAGATAGTCGGTACTTGTTGTGGAAGTGTGTGTGTGTGTGTGTGTGAAAATGGCGTCATTTTTTTCGGTTTATTTTTCTTTAGCCTCTTTAAAAACTATTGACATTTCACCTCTTTTTTTTAAAATTATAATTTTAGATGATAAGAAAAGTACATGAAATTAAATATTGGTATATACAAACTACTACTAATAACAATATCAGTAGTAATAATAGTAACGTAGTAGTAGTAGTAGTAATAGTAGTAATAATCATGATAGTAATAATAGTAGTAATAGTACTAGTAGTAACCATAATGGTAATAAGTCATAATTTGTTTGTTTACTAACAATTCAAGTTCGGACATGTTGTAAATAGTAATAATACTGATGCTTATTATTATTATTTCTTGTTTAAACAATCAGTAGTATTTTGATTATATATTTCCAGGATTATTTCTTATTTAAACACATAAATATTGGTATAAGGGGACATCAGATATATATGCGCCACACAAATCAAAAAGAGATTTGTGTGAGGATTGTGATACTGTTCAGGTGCCCGAACCGAAACAGGTGGTTTTCTTAGGGGGCCATACCCGGAGCCTTTGACCTAATGGTCTGATCCACAAGGCAGTGGAACATGGTAAGGAGATGCGGTTTCATGGTAGCCGGTGACCAACGATTGAATCATACGCCGTTTTTTTCCATAAGGATACTGGAGTTCATGTGCACCATTGGTTTGGAATGAGCGTTTTCCAACTCCCTTAGATGAACTCTCCGTGTCCATTAACTTGGTTAAAGCGCCGGACATTCGTTTTTCATCCTCTCAATTTCCGGGATGGACGCTATAAAGTTGACTTAGAATGGACAATTGAAGGTAGTTTGTTTGTTTTTTGTTTTTGTTTTTTTTGAGAGAGAAAATCTGAAATTCAATGATTCTGTAATAATAATGATAATAGAATGAAGTTATTCATAGTGTTCTATTAAGTTTATTATGCCTGAAGATACTACAGGTATTGTAGTTTGACAACACTTTACAAGTAACACCTTCTATAATCGAATCGTGCCCACCCAGTTTAATCAAAAGTCAGGAGCGAGGAGTTTGGAAAATATATTTGATGGTTTATCAATATATTGAAATGTGACTGATTTAATCTGGCTAATGATGGCAGGAGATGTTGAGCAAGCTATTCTAAAACGTGATCTGGTGTGGATGTATGACCAAACACCTTCAGCTAAATGAGTTCATCCAATGTCGAACACTTACAGAGCTATTGATTTTGGGGATTTATTTACAGCTACATGCTTAATACTTTTCAGATATTGTCTTGTTCATTGAATAACTGAATGCTTTTTGTGTATGCCTTTTTTGATGAGATTCGATTGTAAGCCCCAAAGATTTATTACATTTACTGTTGACATCCATGGAATTTATCATAGCAACCACTCTAAGATTGTACATTAATTGAAAATCATACATTTCAACTGTTTTACTGATATTAGAAAGAAAGAACTATTATGTCAGTTTACTAATTAATTGAAATTAGTAATATAAAGCATTAAGATCTAACTGAATAATCTAGTGACATTAACACCATCGCATGCGAGCTCAATGGTCTATCGGTTAAGTGCACTGGCGCGAGACTGGTAAGTCCTGAGTTCGAATCTTGAGAGGAGAGATCGTGGATTTAAACGGCTGAGGAGTCCTACAATTGGACAAAACGGCCGTTTAGTGCTTGCAGGTTTTCCATGGTGGTCTAGCCTCAATTGACTCATGCTTTCAACTATGAAACATTTCGTTATCGTCAAAAAAAGTTGAAGGTCAATTGTTAAATATATATACGGATACATGTTTTACCGAGAAATACCAAACTAGCATAAAAGAGCTATGATATGAAGAGCCAATCAGAAGTAGCCTTATGTAAAGGTCACTCGATGACAACTAGAAGTCACCTAAAGCTAAAGTTCATTTCATTGAGGCAACGGGTCAATTTCATAAAGATAAAATAGTATTTATATTAATGAATATTTGTACATTTCATTCGATGGTCTAAAACATTTTCTTGTTCACTCTAGTGTTCTCATTCAAGTACCCAGTTTGGGGGTTAGCGCATAGCATACCGTGAATCAATATCAGATTTCGGACACCGCACGTCACAAAAATTGAAGAACATATGGAACTCAAAACAACTGTCAACTAATTTCAAAGTGAGAATCTTCAATGCGAACGTCAAGACAGTCCTACTGTACGAAGCTGAAAAGTGGAGAACTACTACATCCATCGTCATGAAGGTATAAGTATTTATAAACAGTTTTCTACGCAAAATACTCAACATCCATTTGCCGGATACTATCAGCAATAGCCTACTGTAGGAGAGGACAAACCAGCTTCCATCTGAAGAGGAAATTAGGAAAAGACGTTGAAATTGGATCTGACATACATTACGGAAATCACCAAACTTCATC